ATTTAACTAAACAGTATATTTATTTTCTAGAATATATGATGATACAATGAAATTATTATGTTAGTAATTGCCAAATGGGTTCTTTCTTAGCAAATATCTAGTTTGTGCAACTTATCTATCTTGAGAAATACACATTCGCTGTCATTGAAAATTTCAAGAAATTCTAATACAACATGACAAACGGTTACGCAATTTCACTTTTTTTCTTCTGGGGACTATATTTCTATAACAACAGAGGCAAATACTTTGAAATTTTCGTCAAAGACAGAAATCATCAAGAACTACTACTCATAGAATTTTCATCTATATCCATTGAGTTAAAGCTGAGTTATTCACAAAATAACGGCTGTTAAAAAATTTCGAATAATATATACTTTTATGGAACTTTTGCAAGTTTGCATTTTTCTCTACGAAATAAACACATACGCTAACCAGAGGCCGTATTGGACCGGATTTCGTTGGTTCGAGTTCGGTTCGTCTTTGATCTCAGATGAAAATGAGTGTTTCGTAGAAACGTTGTGCAGCTAGTAATGTGTTTTCAGACTATTAGTCCATTTTTAATACTGATTGAGGCATCGAAAAAATGTAAAAAATATCTTTTCTTACAGGATTTAACGCACATTTTGACTTCAAAGTCAAGGGTTTGGAAGATTCGTATTTGAATGTTTTATGATAAAGACTGAACTTTTTCTGATGTAAGATAGTTGTTAACATCTGTACTCTAACTCAAACGATTCATTTTCATACTAAGATCGAAGTTGAATTAACAATCATTGCCAATATGTGTTAGTATTCTGCAATAGTATTTTCGATTTCTACTAGGAGAATGCGAAAAAATCAGAACTAGTCTCGGTTATTCATTCCTTAACAGAATATAATATAACATCATTTAAGTCAAACGAAACGCTTCTATCATAATGTAAATTTTTTGCTTTGCAGCTTATGACTACGAGACCAATGATGCCAGTATTGCTCAATGTGACACATTTTAATTTGGATTCATTTGAACTCAATCGATTACATGCAATGACGTTGGTTGTATGGCTTTTTCTGGCACCCAACGTGAGAAAACTAAATCTTAGTCGTAAGACTAACACTGTCAAAATGGAATTGGCAGGACAATTGAGCGACCTGATGAAGACTGACAAACGTATCAGATACGTTCTTGATCGCATTGAAGAAGTCGAGGTTATATCGTATTGGGACAATAGTGATGATGAAATCAAATTGAACTTACTTTGTAACTTTTCGCAAGTGTTTTCAAAAGCTGTGGTTTTGCATCAATAGCGATGCTTCAAATAAAAACATTGTCTACTCTTGACAATTTCTTGCTAACCATGAATATTTGTTGCGTTTGGAAGATGTGCGTCCCACATCAATACGTCAGAGGAGACAAGTAACGCAGGTAGATCACAGTTTCAATGTTAGTTTGCACAGAGATGGTCTTAGACTTAGTGAATAAGAGAGTGAGCTAAGAAAACTCTAGATTTCTTGTGTCAAGAAAATAACTTCCTGTAAGATACACAAGTAAATTATTTTCATCCAACGGAATATTTTTACCTATGCTCTTTCACTCTCAAACAATGTTTAACTGCATGCATGGGAATGAACACTTGCTGGTACTGTACTGCTGAATGAATAACTGAACTATTTATTGATAAGTAAATAACATTGTATAGGCTATTTACTTATTTTTCAATATAAGCAAATACAGCATTTACTTCTTTTCATGTTTAATAGTAAATGGGCAAATACGTATTTATTGGTGCACGACGAAACGGGCTGTGGCAATGCTGATATAGTGTGTCGCGTGATCGCCTCCCTCTCAATCAAAAGTCGAGTATAATAATATAAATTTTTATCTTGCGTCGAATGGAATTGTGTGCTGATAAATAATAAAGCTTCATATCCAAACTTAGCAACAAAAAGCTCTTTTCGTCATCAAACTTGTCCCTATGCCAGTGAGTTTACATCTGATATTATTTATGAAACAGCGACTCCTTTCAAATAAGAACTTCAAGTTTTTCATTTATACGAGTTGGAAGCAACATAATCAAACGTGAAAACTACGTATTATATATAATTACCTAGTTATCATAAATAACAATTACTAGATTCTACATGAATATTAAAAGCAATTATTTTGGACCGTTTCTTGGAAGTAGTGATGTGACGATAGGTTTCAAATGATCATTTTTTGCTGTGACTAACACCATGTTTGCTTCCATATTTTAAAGATTCACACGAACAGGACAAATTTATCAGATGAATGTTTTTGTTAGAATTGTATGGAAAATATTTTGCTACTTTCTTTTTAGAAGTTTCGTCAACATCTGAAAGTCGAGCACCGAAGAAAATTTCTAACTAGCAGTTCAAAGTTTTGACAAAATAATCATTAGAACAGTGATTACTTAAATAAAATAAAAATCCTGCTTCCGCTTCCTTCTCACCAACTCTGACATCATTGAAATCGACATTAGCTTGTAGCAAACTAACATGGTTGAACTTTTTTCAGATGTAGAGACTAATTTAACTTAGACGGGAGTGAAATATTAGCAGATAATTTCACTTTTGAGTGTGATAGTGGCTGGATGAGTGTGAGTGACGCGGCAGAACTATCGTTTGATATGATTTAGAAGAGGAAACAAAGTTAGAGAGAAAGTCTTCTGTTTGGGAGAAATTGGCTAATTTTCTGTTAAAACTGATGTGGAAGCAATCTCTTTATTAAAAACAACTAATTTCTCATGAAGTCTTCGAACAAAACTTTCTTTTTCAGATAAATTAGTTTTTTCTCTTTGAAGTGACGGCAATTGTCGGGAGGAGGGCCGAGCTCAAGTAAAAACTTAGCAGGGAGAAATTCTCGTTTTGCCTTCCTAATCGTATGCCTTTCGAATTGAGAATACTCACACCAAGTTCGAATCGCGCTACTTAATCTATCCAATGTAAAAAAAGGATTTTCGGCACGAATATTGTTATAAACATGAAATATTTCACCTACTACTGAACAATTTATCTACAATTCAGAAAAAGTTCCAGATGCTTCGACTTTTGAGCGGAAAGTGAAGAATAATATATTTATTTTCCAAAAAAAAAGCAGCCAGATATTCAAGTATATATGTCCCACCACGAAAATAAAAAAACATAATGATTAAATATGTGCTTTTTGAAAACTTGATACGAATACATCAGAAAGTCAGAGTTAATGTGCATTGTCAGTTTGTGAGTCTGATATTTCTAACCATCAATTAGGTTTGAAACGCATCTAGCACCAGGTTGTGGTGTTGCAAGAACAACACCACCAACACCACAATGATATCCTGGACAGCATTCTTTCTTTGTGTTATAGCATAATGCTCCGGATGCAAGACATCTAATACATTTTGCTGTTGTTTCATTTATTACTTGTAGGATATGTCCTTTACAACATGCAATTGTTGTGCCTCCAAAGCAACCAGCTTGCGTGGAACATCTTGTTGCGACAGTATTGACCACTAGAGTAATGCTTATTATCAATATCATGAAGATAATTGTAGAATTCATTCTAAAACAGTTAATCAATTTGAAAATTTTCGTTGAGATGCGTATATGAAAAACGGTGCAGTACTTACGTTGCGATAAGATATCAATGAAATGAAATTACGTCTGTATTGAATAAATATAGAATGAGTGAAACAAAGATATACATATCCCTTTTATACTCTGTTAAGTAAATGCAAATGAGTGCATATGAAATTCTATTAGAAAGAAAGAAAAAGATCAATTTCTATTGGTGTGAGAATAAATAGGTATATATTACCTTATCACACGAGCAAATGTATGAAGCAAAGGAAAAAATAGGCCGTTTTTTTTTCATACACTTCTTGTTTCTCTATAGGCTAACACTATTCAGTCTATTCATGTAGATAATTTTCTTTATAGAGGAAATAATGTTGATATTCGACTACTATATCTTCAATGAATTTCAATTTCTTGTGATTCTACTCGTGAAAATTGCACATCATTTCAACAACATACAGTTAACAAAAGTGATTTATCACTCGAAATTTGCTTCAAGTCGTTCATTTGGATGATTGCTAAAGAGGTTTTTTTTTGAATGTATTCGGTGTGTTTTGTCTGTTTTTGATGACGCAAGCGGCAACAATCGTAATCATTCATTATATGTGTTTGTCTTGCTGGGTGTGATCTTATCAAAGAACCAATTGATAGATAAAATTTAGGTGAAACAACAGAAGTTCTGCGACTACTCTCTGCAAGGCAAGTGGTGATGTATGAGTTTTGGTTGCAAATTAGTTTTCTTCTTGATAAATATTTTGATGAATATTCGACAATGGTTATGCATTTTCCATTAAGAAACAACATATTCTTAGCTGTCATTCGATTGTTGACACGTACGAAATTCGAGTATCAAAATCAGATTTTAATATCACAAAAAATGAAAATAAGTTAGAGAAAAGAAACATTCATCATTGAAAATATCACCACGAATTCAAAACCAAAGAAAATCAACATTTTTTTTAATAATGGAGTCGATTCTGGATGAGCAGCAACGAAGTGTGATCCGTTGTCGAGTATTGGAAAATAGTTAAGATTATATCGAATTTCTTTTCATCGATTGTTTTCTTTTTGAGTACATAAGACTGATCAAATGCGGGACTAAATACTATTATATTTTTAGTTTATTTATTTTGAAACCTGAATAATTTAGTTAATGTCGATATGATGATCAATAAGATTTTAAAGTTGTACAAGAATAGAAAATATTCTTAATTCTCATGATTTTATCATTTATATGTTAATTAGAATATGGAAAATTCCTCGTCAGTCTATTTCTTCCTAATATGTTAAACATCATGTTCACATATTATCACAATTTTGCAAGACTTCACAGAAAATGCTTTCTCGTATTGATAAAAAATAACATAAAAAGACACATCTATATCGTTTAAGAACATAATAACAGCATTGAGCTCGGTATAAATCAGAGCTAGTTAGAGTTGGTTTGCAATCAATTAATCATGGGTTCAAATTGTCGTTACAGATTGATGTTTATTTTCTTTTTATATTTTGGAGGCCAACTAAACGCGTTCAATCTGAGTCTGGTGTTGCCATAGAATAGCTGTCATTGTTACAAACCAAAACGTCTTAATTCATAACCATATCAAAATGTATTAAGGCCAGGCAGTATATCTTAATTCATCTTTATATATGAACGTGTTGTAATATATCTTCAATATAAAGACAATTTTAAACGTGTTAGGTTCGTTGAGTGTATTCAGATACGCCAAAAATATTGTACTTTGGACTCATCCAGACAGGTCAAGTTGCATTTCTTGCAAACTCTTGGGGGACGCATTATATTTCTAAAAATTGCTGCATAGCTTAAATGCGTACCGGTTGAGAAAGAAAAAAACCATGCCCAACTAATATATTGTGTTACGCACCATTATTTATCGCGCTGTACACATTCATTTATTATCATTTTCTTTCTACAAGTAATTAGTTATTTTTAACTTCTACAGTAATTTATTATATTTTTCTGCAAAGGACAGAACGATTTATTTTGTTGCTATCAACATACTACGATAGTTATCTGCCAGATTTCTATATATATATAAATTCTCTTCAGTGTAGAGAGTACATCTTCTCTTTTTATAGATAGTATATACATACTTTATATCTTCAACACAAATAATAGTTCGTTCGAAAATATTTTAAACTTAAGTGATATTTTCGAGATTGAATCATGAATAAATTATACTTTGTGATTACTATTATTTACTTCATTGGTTTAAATAGTAAGTGTATTTTAATATAAATCGCTTGTCTTTTTCTTTATTTCAATATTTATCTATCTTTTTAAGATGGAGCTAGTCCACCGAAAAGTGAGAAAAAATTTACCCTAACTGGTCGTGTTACATTTCCTGGAGGTTCATCTACACCAATTGAACCCGATGGGAAATTAACAGTTGAATTACAAGATACATCACTTGCTGATGCACCAGCAAAAGTTATTGCACGAGGAACAAGCAAAGTTACTCGGTTTCCAGTGGTGTTCGGAATGAAATATTCATCAAGTCAAATTATTGATGGACATACATATTCATTAAATGCTGATATTAGAAATAAAAAGAATGAATTATTATATACTAATGATGTTCAAATTAGAGTAACACCACTTACTGTTGATCGAAAAAAACTTATTGAAGTACCTGTTATACTTGTCAAAAGTAAAGAGACAAAAGGTTTTTTGTAAAATTTTTATTGATACTTTTAGAAACAACTCCAGCATTTAAAAAACTTCAATGGCCTGAACTAGTTGGTAAAAATGGTGAAGAAGCAGTTCGAATAATCAAAAAAGAAACAGGCAATATTCTCATATTCAGTATATGTAGAAGTTTTCTTTTATAATTGAAAGTAGGCTTTACAAATGTAATGACAGTCAAAGAAGGATCACCAGTAACATTGGATTATCGTACGAATCGTGTACGTGTTTTTGTCAATAAGCAAGGCATTGTAGCAACTGTTCCAACTGTTGGTTAATCAATATGTTTGAAAACAAAGCCAGAAACAATAATGAAATAAACAGTTCTCTTGAATATTTCTATATCAATCATCTCTTTTTTTATATAAATTAGTATTATTGCGTAAAACTCTAGTTTAAAATACTAGTACATCATATCTGATGTTTTTTTTTCTCTAAACAAGACACTAATAAAAAAACAACTACTTGTAGAATAATCGTATCACAGAATGGTAATTTCCGTTAATATAGTTGTATCATAATGTATCTTCTTTGTAATTTTGTATTGCAACAAATTGAAAACTCATATCAAGGAATGTGACCCTTAACGTTGTTTGTTTGATTGCATGACCTTCCGAACTCATTAATAATGTTTTTCAATTAGGTTTGAATAAATTTTCGACTCTCGTGAGTGAAATGGCGGTGAACCGAGCTTGAGAAAATGTCATTGCCAAGACGATTTGTGGTATAAGTCCGAATTTAACTCGGGTGATTCTAAGCAAAGTTCAAAATATTTGCTTGAGAAACCTCATTACAATGAGTCTAATGATGATTTTCAAATTGACGAGAACAGATGCTACACTTTGAGCTTAGACGAAAAAATCGAGAAATAATGATAATTTCATCATTCGATAGATCTTCAATATCATCTTCTTGTTACATATTTCATATCATACATGAAGAAAACGAAAAAGTAACTAAACAACAAATGATCAATGTATAATGTACCATGAGTCGAATGAGTAAGTTGCTTATTACAAAGGAAATTTGTAAAGATGTATATGATTCAAGTTTGATCAAAGCATACTCGCAATGATGATATTCTTGTGTCGGACGAAACACCTTATAATATCAAAGTGACTTTTTCTCCTCAAAAAGTTTACAATGAACTTGTATCGATTCTATGACATTTGTTAATATATGAAAATATTATTTTAGACAAATTTTTCAATTAATTAATTCAATTCGACTAAAATATTTTTTTTACTAAGTGTGCGTGTGAGGAATGAAAGACCATTGACATCCACATGCGCACTCTAGTCAATTGAATCATGCTCTACATTTGAGCAATACCAATCATTATCTGAAAGATGAATGTTGGTCCACCATGACTTGTTGAATTCGACCATTTTCATCCATCCCTCTTATAAATATTGAAAATTACTTGATGTTCTAATTTGCTTGAGAGGGTTATCAAATATATTTTTTCTATGTTGCAATAATTTACATCAAAGTAAAAATCATTAGTGAATGGTACAACGATCTCTAAATATCGAAGTCATTTTTCAACATTGTAAAAATCAAAACATCTCGCTTACATATACATACTAAAAAGACGTTCTATTCAGTTCATGTATGGAGATATCGATTGAAAATCTTCAATGATATTATTTTTAGTATCAATACAATTCAGACCGAAGACGTTGTTTGTAACAAGACTTTCTCTGGGCTAAAAAACTTTACCTATGAATCTGACGATGTCACATCGTACTCTCTCTCTATATATATATCTTAATATCTAAAATTATTTATATTAATGTCTTTAATTCCACGAATTTCTCAGTTAACGAGTAACACAGATCTCGTCTTTACTTTGCTATTAGATGATTGAGAATAGAAATACTCATCAGCGATTGAAAAGTCGAAAAAACTATTCAGATACACATTTCACAGCCACAATTCTCTATTATATCTTTAAATGAATGCCATTTTTGAATGTGAGCTCTCTACAAGTGGCAAAGTCATGAATATTTAAATGCAAATAGTACGAATAGATTCCATTGAATAATCATAGTTTTGATTTTTAGGATACTGTAGCACATACATATTTGTTCAATAGTAGTTATAATAATGATTGCTCAAAAGTATTTCTGTCTTGAAATACAAAAATACTCAAATAGTGTCCATCATAATTTGGATTTCCTGTTCTGCATTTTTGCATAGAGTCAACTTTATTTTGTTTACTCATCGAATCAAACAAATACATCTGGTACACTACTCATTCATATATGTTATAATGAACAATTTTGTATTATTTCTCAGTCTGACATTCGTTTTTATACATATTATCTTAAAATATATTTTACGATAAAGAAAACTAATAAAGTCAATATGAATATATAGTTCAAAATTATTCTTTTTCTGAAAAAGTTCTAGCAGTCTTCACGAAAAATGGAAGCAAAAAGTAAATTACATACATGCTTATAGTTTAAAACACTCACACGAAAGAAAGAAATCGAAACAAAATCAGAAAGCGATCAAAAAAAGATTCGAAAATCGTAATTTGTCTTGTCAAATTGGAAAATCTGACAACCCTGTGTACTAAACACGTAGCAATGAATTATAGTTAAATTTTAATTGAATATTCAAAAAGCTTG